TCGAGCTGTGGTCTGATTGCACTCTAAGCTAATACTCAGCATTCATGTCAATATTCAGATGTCCGACTGTTACTCGGATAACACTTTTTCCTGATAAAACCTTCCGCTGCGACATTTTTCATGTTTTCTTAATATTCTAAATTCAACAAATGGAAATTATAAATTAAAACTTATTTCGAATTGCCGTAATTCTTAATAAATGATAAAAATATCTCGCAGATTAAAACAAATTTCAAATAGACATTTTCGAAAGCCATTTTTTTTTAAATTTAATGAAACCTGGGATGATTCTGAACGGATTTCTCACATTAAAATGCTACAAACTGCACATGTTGTGCTTTTTTTTTTCGCAGATCAAGAATTTATTTTACATTTTAAATATTGAGTAAAACAAGCATCATTCTTTGGATTTATTAAATACTTCTCATGAAAGTGTTTTAAAATAAATTTCGCTTAAATGTTTAGATTACAAAATAAAATGCTTTTAAGAGCGTGATTCCAATTTTACGCTCCATTTATTAACTTTTCTTTGAAAACTTTTAAAAGCTTTTTGTTCATTTGAGCTTAATACACTGTCGTTTATAAGCTTCAAATTTAAGAACATGTTCTTTAATTTTTATGTCATCGAAAGGGTGAATGGCGTATTCTGTCATAATTAGGATGACAATGCCAAAGCAATACAAAGAGTTAATTTTAAGTGACTACCTATGGATAGAATGTCATATCGGATGATGAATGGGCATTTTGCAAGAAGCATTTGTAGGAATGCTGTCGGGGCCAATTATAAGCAAAATTACGAGAGGTGTCTTCTTTATCCTCCTTGATGAATGGCGGGCACATAAACGTTTCCACGATGCCATTCCTTCACTGACAAACTAAGATCGTAAATGTTAGAAACGAAAACAAACTTTCAGCGCTCATCTCTGTTTCTAAATTTAGAAGGGACCAATTTCCGGTGTCTTTTCTTTGCGCTTTACGTAAGCCTATCTTTATTCAGTTGAAAAAGATCTTAATTTTGTATTCTTTTGGATGCACAGATTTTTAGGGAAAAAAAATCGCTTTTAAGGGAATATATAAGTATGCAGTCAAATAAATGAAATAACTTGCGTAAGAGAAAAACTTGTGTTAAAAATAATTTTATCTGTGTAGCGTCAAACATTTTAACAAAAGTTAACCGGTAAAAAGTAATTTTTTAATAAAACGTAGAACGTTTAAAATCTAACAGAAAAACCTTTGTTTTTAAAATATAAATAAATGTATCATTAAAGTGTAGCTGAGAGTTTAAAAAATAAGCTCTTATTCTATTTGATCGTAGACTGTCTCTGATAATGTCTTCTTTTCCATCTCTTATACAGTTATGATCTAACCAAAAAAAGGATTTTATTTCATTAACGTAGCTAACGTACTTTGCCTGTTCAGTACTTATGCTTTCCTTCAACTCCCTTCAGAATGCAAATTTGTTTGAAATATATATGGGAGAGAGATTTTAGATTAATTTTAGTTTCTTTTAATTTCAGTTTATGTAACTACCAGCTCCACGCGTTAATAAATATTTTGTTTTTGATTTCGTTTTGTTGTAATACTTCTAATTAACAAATCAGAACAGACGAAAATTCTTCCAACAGTCTTATAGAGTTATGAGTGAGCTAATGAATTGAAACTTTAAATTTAGTAGAGTAACTATTTCATCAAACACTCTATCTCTCCGGTTGAAACAATTATCTTACATATGTATTTAAGATAAAAAAAAAAAAAAACATGTAAATTCTAACTTTAATTTGCTATAATTCCTTAACTTTCCATTTTAATTTAGTTATTTTCCTTTTCTGTCCAAAAAACAGTAATTAACAGTGGTATTTTATTTTCAAAAACAGAATACCAGAGACGAACCCCGCCATGGTACCAAGCCTTCCGGGAAATGTGTCCGTACTTCGGAGACCATCCAAGAGGGCGCGAGCCTCATTGGTCCCCCTTGGGCCTCCACGAAGCATGGGACCAAAGAAAGCTATGACGAGTTAAAAAAAAAAAACGAAGACTCTTTGCCTCGGTCACCACGCCGGGAGCACCGAAAATTCAAAAGGGTGGTCCATACCAGTACAAGTCCCTGACGAGGGACCGAATGAGTCCAAACCCCCAAAGATAGCCACATATCATACGATGTAACAAACCCCATAGCCAAAGGGCAGACACGACAGTACCAGTACGGTCCCTGTCAAGCCTGAACCATCCTGAGAATAAACTCGGGTTCTAGTCCTGTGAAGAGTGATTATAAACCTTTTGGAAAGCTTCAGTCTATGTAAATTCTTATAAAACTTGCAATTCCCCCCCCTTTTTTTGAGTTAGTATGGGAAGGCATTACCTATGGTACATCGCTAGTGTCCCCCATATTTTTACCTTTACCTTTACCTGTACCCCGTGATTGAGTGATGGAAAGCCAGATCCTAGCCAGTACAGATTCCCATAGAGTTCTATCCCAGGTTCTTGAGTCAACCCCCAGGGGGGATTTCCTGCTAATAAACAAGGGCTATAACATTCTATATTAGAGCAATAAACAACTTGTAGATTTCATGAAGGATAGGGAAGCAAAACACGAAAGATGAGCAATGCATTCGAACGTGGACCTCTCGATTACGCGCCAAGTGTGCAACCGTTACACCACGAAGGCAGGCTAGAAGGAGGGAGAAAATGCCTTAAAAGTTCATGAACAACATTTCACATTTATCGCAAGTATTTCATAACACGGAAAATATGTATCCCTATTATCTATCTATTCTTTCAGAAGCAATTTCCTTTTACCTTTTTTTAATATTTTCTTTAATTCTTTTAAATGATGGCTTTCATATTCCCGCCATTAGAAAGGCGACACTAAGATTTGGCAACAGATTATCGTCCACCACCTTTTAGTTGGGTCCCACTTGTAAGGTCATTAGGTTTTTTTTCCTTCTGAAAACGTGAAAAATATGCATTGCCCTCTCCAAGACTCGAACTTAGACCTCTCGAATACGTGCCAATAGAATTTTGATTTACAATTTTCTTATCTTGCGTATATATATATACGTGTGTGTGTGCGTGTATGTATGTGTGTATATACATAACAATACAAACGTAGACAACTTTGAGTTGAGATATTGTACCCCTGAAAGAAGAATATGTTTTTACGAGTAAATAACACGTAAAAGCGATTTTATAAAAGTCAATGCATCGTAACTTACAGATGGTTTTGTTTGTTTGTAGAAAATATAAATTTTCTTTTGGGGAAAAAATAAAATCTTGCTTTTGACAACAACGGTTTGAAAAAGTACGTATGACAGCTAAGCGTAGCATTTTCATCTTCAGAAAGCTTAGACAATGTAACATAAATTCAAGAGAACTTCTCATTGATCGATTATCGATGTGGAAAATAGGATCTTATGTTAGAGAAATAAAATCTTTATTAAATACGCTGATCTTACCGCGAATTAGAAGACTAGAAAAAATTTGGAAAGGTGAACAAAGATAAATTACGTAAAGAAGAATAAGATAAAGATCTAGCCTGTCCAGTTTATCTTTCAATGAATTTTATAATGAAGATATCTCACTCGCTAAGAGAAGAGTAAAAATGTTTCTTCTCTCCTACACAAAATTCTGAAGAGTAAGTGGGCGAAAAGTAAAATCGTAATAAAAGTGACCGATTGTAATGCGTCTCAGAACGAAGTGAATGGGGCCACAGCAATGAATTTCGATGCCTTCCAATCGTTTATATACATTGTATAAACTGTATCATTAACGTGAAGTTTTCCAAACAAATGTAAATGAACATTTAGTGAGTTTTTGTTTCAGGGAACCCACTCGCATCATTAAGTGACATTCACAAAAAGTACTTTCAAAATAGGATAACACATTTATTGCGAATATCAGTAAATACAGCTGACTATAACTCGACTTGTTCTGACAAACATTTGCATTCGCTTCATGAGTTACACTTTTAATGATGTTAACGTCAGGTAAGGTGTGAGTGAGAATTTGAGGTTTTGAAATATCCTATAATGTTTATGATAACAATTTTAATATTAATAATATTTTGATATTCATAATAATAAAAATATGCATAATATTTATAGCATTTTTAATATCCCATAATATTTATCCAAGCCCTGCTGCCTTCTTCTTTCGACTTCTCTTTCGGTTTGGTTTTCGGTTCGACTTCTCTTTTGGTTTTTGGTTCTTTCAAGTCCATGGACCTTAACTGTTGTATATTTCTTATGGAAGTCTGCTGGTGACCTTTAATCCGTAGGTCACCAATGAGTAGCTGCTTTGAAGAACGCTGGTGTTCTTCAGTTTAATTTTATTTTTAAAGTGTATCTAAATTTACTGCAGCACCCCACAATGGTGACCTATCGCTTGCTCGTATGTTAATGACCATTAATTCATAAACCGCTTACCCACTAATGGCCGAGCGGTTAAATATTGCTGAAATCTTGTAGTTTGTCCTGGAGTCGAAACCAGGCGAACGGGCTAATCCATGGCTGGTCGCCCAGCCTTACAATAGTTAGTGACCCTGACTGCCGTACCGCTGGGCCCAGATTTGAATCCCAGAGAAGTCATGGATATTTGTAAGTGTATAGTGTCTGTTCGGAGCTCTTAGAATACACGGTGAGCTGAAAGTACTCTCCAGAATTTTGTAGTAAGGGAAAAAGTTTGGGAAACTCTTGGACCGACATTCCGGGGTGTCCTACCTCAAAATTGGGGCTGACTGTACATTTATTGCGGAGGAATTATACCTGTACGATCAATGGTGAAATTTTGATTATTCGGCCCATTTGTACCTGTACCTGGTTGCATGGCTGGCTTTCCTATGCGTAAGGTGTATACGAGCTAGTTTTCCTTAGAACAGAGAATACCAGCCTTTTCATAGCACCATCCCTGTACGTTGTAAACAATTTGATGACGTACCGATCGACCAAAAATTTTGAAATGTGGAATAAAACACATTTAAAAACATTTATAATAAAGATAAGTAACTTTTGATGTATTTTTATTGCTAAACATCTACATAAAATATAATAATTAGTTTAAAACGTATGTAACTAGTGAGAAGGTTGAGCCTGTTTATTATTAACTAAAGAAGTAATTTCGAGCTCAATGTTTGTCAGTTTAAAGAAGAGATCTGATTGCAGTTTTCTCTTGAACGCACTTATTTTGTCATGCAAGTCGAACACAGAATTGTTAACTCCTTGCAAACTCAAATTTAGTTCATTGAATCTTGAAAAATGTCTGGAAGGTGTGCTAGTCTTCACAACCATCGCTCATCAATTAAATTATCTCCGTTGGAATATTTTGAATTGGTCAAAAACATATAAATGTCATCGCGTAACTCAAATAATCGACTGAGGACTTTACCACGTAACAATCACCGTACTTCGGTGTGAAGTAAAAGTGTACTTTGTCAATTTCTTTAGTCGCTTTCTCTCCAAGGACAGATGCAATTATATTCTTTGTTGCTGGCATCAAAAATGCTTCACTATGTAGGGTCGTTCTCTCTTTTCTCACGTAAACGAAATTAGATCCTATAATGAACCTGGCGAATTCTCGCACAAGCGCGAATAAATACCAGCACAGAAGAAGGGGGAAAGTAACCCTTTATTAAATTTAAATAGTTTACAGAAAGGCACGATATTCGTGCGTTACCAATGGCACCGTCAAACTTGCGGTGAAATAAAAATCGTAGAATATAATTCAAGTCAAAAATCTAAAATAAGTAGTGCTGGATAGCACGTAAGTTAAGCCTAACAGATTGACTCACAAAAACCTAACAGGCGTGATGATAATCCGAAATGCCAAGAGGCTGACTAGCATAACAACGAAACGTGCGCTGGCTAACGACAACACGCTCTGCATAAACTCAGACATTCACCCGTTAAATACGCACTTCGTAATACAATTTACAATTTTAATTTATGATACATATAATAATGCCTGGCGATGGAATTTGAGGGGAAGTTGAGAAGTTCAGTAAAGGTATCAAACTTAAAATAAATTTTGTATGCAAAATAAGGGAAACCTTACAACTGTATGTGGTTTTCCGCACTTAGCTATATGCAAAATAGCTAAATATGATGCTTTCACATAATTACTGTTTATACTACTCAAAGTTTTGACAACTGATTTTTGAGGGCAAACCTCTGAACGTTTTCTTTTTAAAAAGTCAAGAGTTTTGTCTTTTGCACTCGAATGTTTGCTATAGAAATACCTTTTCAAAAGAGCTGGCTTCGTAGTCCTGTTTGATAAGCACTCAAAACAGATTACGCACTGTGGAATAGGTTCAGTTTCTGTTCCGAATTTCATGGCGAATCTATACTTCATATAATTAGGATCATACTTCTTGATCCAAGTTGTTTCTTTAATTCTGGTTCTTCGACTTTGCTTAATTCTCCTAATTGACCTTCCTTTAGGTTGAAATTAAAACTTCCAAATTGCTCCAAATATCTCTTCATTGTATCAGGGTGCTGTAAAAATAATAAGTCAGTAAAATGCTACAAAAACATAAAAGTAAAAAGCTAAAATATTTAAAAAGTAAACTAAAATATTAGAAACGTATGGATTTTTAGTTATTATAGTAATTTCTTTTCTTTTATCGTAATACAGATTTTTAATAGATTTCTGTTTTAAATTGTAAAATCATTCACGTACCGGTAGCCGCTAGTCTCTGGCGGCCTTCGGCGTAAATTTTAGCTTCTGTTTACTTTTTTTAAGAGTCTGCCCGTGAGATAATATTAAATAAATTTAATTTAGAGCATACCTAAATGATAATTTTTACAAACATCTGCAGTATTATTTTACTCAATACAAAATGCTTCTAAAAACCATAAATTGCGTGTCTGGTATGCAGTCGTTGTTTCGCAGAAATTATTTCGCTATCTCGCACTGCATCGTTCAGTTCATTTCCATTTCCGTAATCCCGTAAAATTTGACCCTTGAGAAACTTTCACGATACTTCCGAATGAAAGCAAAAACAGCAATTTATGATACGTATAATAATGCCCGAATTTTAAAATTTTATAAGGTCGTAGGAAGTGGTTAAGAAATGAATATAGTCTAGAATTTCACTTAATACCAAAAGAAATTTGCGTGGTTTGAGATCAACCAATCCCACCTACCTCAGCTGTCTCCCATTCAGGCTATATTATTCCTTATCGTACCGGGCACGTGACGCCGAATACTAAATATACGAGTTCTCACGGCTGTTTGCTTTTTCAAGTTCCTGATCCTCTTTTGCATACGCACTGCGGCCCACGTGTCTCAGTATGTTGTACTGCGTGCACAATGCCCACTCATTGATTTCTTGGACAACTAGTCGGTTCATTCTTTCGATACAACGTTCATTGCGATAAGTATCTAAATTGTGCGTATGTAGTTATTCCTTTTTCTTTTGCCTGCAAGCTAGAAATTTCTACCGTGATCCTTTTTAAATTTAAGATTCCTTTTAGTTTTCTGCGTTTAAAGCACAAAAGTGCATGACATGGAGAGTAAAACAGGTCAAATCTCGGTGAAACGTATATTCTTTTTGCTTAATAATATTTCGATTTATGCCAGAGGCCATGATGAGGGTTAAAAAGAATTGCCATTGACCCGTTGACAGTCTGAGTTTTATTTCTAACTATTTTTTTATTATATTTTTGAGACGCTGTCTTAATATCAAAAACCTTATTTATTTTTTATGTTTCAGGAATGGTTTATTTAAACTGACAAAGTAAATGACAGGAATTCTGCTGATTATGAAAGAAATACAAACTATCCATCTGTCTCTATATAGAAGAATAGCTTCTCCATGAAGTCATTATCAAGCAGTATTCAAGTTGTAAAATACAGAACGGCTGCTGTTACTATAGAGATTTTAGAACGTGACAATTACATTAATATGCTAACAATTAAATTTTCACTGAATACAGTCCTCTTTCCTCTTGGTTTCACATTGGTATAAGAAGTTTTTGCATCTCAATTAGGAGCGTTACGGTCGAAAACATAGCGGCAAAAACATCGCTTAGAAAACAGCGCAAGGGAAGAATGTTGTACAAAATATCGTGATAGAAAATAAAACAGTATAACGAGAAAACAGCGCAGTTCTGAAACATCGTATTAAAAAAATAAAGCAGTTCAAAAATTTCGCTGTTCTAAAGCATCATCGTAAAAAATATCACAGTAAAAAATAAAGCACCTACAGATCAGCGTATGATGACAGCATTGCAGACATGTATTTTCAAAATTTGGAAGTTTTAAATACATTCTTTCATAATGATTTATGAGGGCAAGAAGGAATGAGGTTAATTATCTAATAAATGTTTACTGAAAAGTCTAGGAGTAAGTATTCAAAAATTAAAAATGAGTACAAAATTAATACCGCGTATAGCAAGTAATAGCATTTTTAGCTTATGTAATCGACTATCAAAGGTCAACATTATTTAATTAACCTCTTTTATAAAGTTGTATTAGCAGTTTTTCATGAAAAATACAGTATAAAAATTTAGAAAAGAGAAAGATGAGTACCCTCATGAAGTTAGCTATACTAACGGTTTTTGAATGCTTCAGTTTTTTCCTTGGTTTTTCAATAAAAACGTATTAGTTAATTCCAAAACATGAAATATAGAGGTAAAAATATTCTTCATTCCTTCTTGCGTTAAAAATTTACTATGCGCACAAAGCCTTAAAGCACATCTCTACGATGTTATCATTATGCAATGATTGAGAGGTGATTTGTTTTTTAACACTATGTTTCTACAACGATGCTTTAAATCTGCATGGTTTTGAACCACTTTTTTTTCTACGAAGATGCTTTGTACAGCGATATTTTAAAACAGCATTCTCTTTACTTCCTTTTCTTCCATGATGTTCCGCTTGACGAAGTTTCGCCCTTAGGGATCACCAGCGGCCGAGCGGTAAAAGCCACTAAACACCGGTGATTCGGTCCGGGGTTCGAGTCCGGCGAACGAGTTGGCTTCATGGGCGTTTTCGTGTTTTTCCCATGTGTAACGTGAATACAAACCAATTTCCCTTGAAAAGACCTCCACGACGAGGCATTTCTCCCTTTTCGTGTAGTGCCTAAGGGCGGAGCTCCTAATTAAGTAGGGGGGAAAAGGTGTTTTCCCCTTTCGTTGTCTTTCTTGTTTTCGTCCACAATATTTTCGGGGTTGAAAGACAGTAAAAAAAATAGGTGCTGCTGTTTTTTAACTGTTACTTATGTGGAATCCTACCTAGATTAGTGGATTAAATTAATATTTGTATACTAATACTTCTCAAAATTTGTAAATCAATGTGCATATCGTATACATTAATCTAGATCAGCGGTTCTCAACCTTTTGACTAACGCGTACCATCTGAAAAAAAATTGAAAACCTTAAGTACCACCACTACAAAGTCTTACCACCACCACTCTTGAACAAAGCTCAGATCGCATAAATTTACGAGCTAAAAAACTCAATCAGGATGTTGGGGTTTTAATTTTTGAATTTAATAGTTAATAATTTTAAATTGCGCATATCTTAAGAATTTCCGATACGCAGTCTCACGCGCTGGAGATTTTTTTTTTTTTTTCCCCTGTACAACGTTGCTATCGCTCGCTTTGAAATCCTCGAGTTTGTTAATCAAAAATTCGTTAAAGTTTTACAAAATATGAAATCGATAATAAAACAAATCCAAATTTCAAATTTGGGCTTTCAGATTCCCATATTCGCAGGAGGATTACGTCATTCAAAATTGGATGGCTCTATCTACCGTTGTTTTATCACAATGCGAGAAACATACATACATTTATGCAGATTCTTCATTATTTAATTTCTCTAAATATAATACAGGGCGACAGCATTTGGTGGCAGCGATTTGAAAAGTGATACAGCCTTTTAAACTTTTCAATGCAAAATCGCGAAACGAAAACTATAATTCTTCAGGGACAAAGCCCCTTTGGACCAAAAATACTTTTCTTCTTTGCGTACCACCTATTTTTCTCTTGAGTACCACCAGTTGTACGCGTACAACCGGTTGAGAACCCTTGATCCAGATTAATATAGTAGCTTCTTAAAGCATATAGTGTATATCTTTCTATAACGTTTAAATCAAAAGAAAAAATTAAAATATTAAAAAAATTAATAGCTATCTAAAATTTACTGGGCTTTCAAAAGAAGAAGATATTTGGATAATTCGTATTCTGTGAATACTTTATCTACCATCTATTTAAGATATGAATACTTTATTTAACATCCATTCCTGGCAACTTCCTTTGAAAATCCATCGTAGAAAATGAGTAATTTTGATTATTTCATCTTATAATTTAGGAAAATCTGTACGATAATCAACCAGACTCTAATAATTCTTATCACTGGAAATTTTTGAAAATCTAAAGCGCTTTCCTGCTTTTATGGATTATTTTATAATTGATCGATAGGTAGAATTGTATTGCTTTCATATCAGCGTGGCGTATATTAACGGTAGTTTTATATTCCCGTCGTTACTTGCTAAACGTTAAACGCCGCCGATCAGAAGTGTTTAGAATATTTATTCTACATTGTTTAATAATTTTCGAAATTTAGTGAAATCTAAGTTATTAAAGGGAATGAGAAAGGAAGAAAGTAAAAAATTTATAAATTAGGAGCAGAGTGAATATGAAAAGAGAAAACATTTAATAATAACAAACATAAATTTGGAAATGGAATAAAATCTATATAAATAATAATAAAGAGGATTGTAAAGTTAAAGTTGTAAAGCTGTCATATCTTAACATTAATTTTACAGGAATTTTAAAGAAAATGCTTTTCAGAACTACTTGGTGGGGGGGGGGGAGGAAAAAAAAAAACTTTTTTTACATTAAATGGATCAAAATATCTAGATATGGGAATGTTACTGTGTCAAATTAAGTATAATATTTCACCTGATTTGGGTTTTCATCCGATTATACTAATAGAATAGATATTAATAACAAGTGTAATAAAATATTATTAACGTTCCAAACTGTTTTTAAACTTTCTGATTAGTACTATTTTGTGATATGGAAGACAAATGAAAGATCTGTCTGTTGAAATGGCAATAGCTTCGTTTGTGACTTAAGACACGATCTTACCGCAATCAGAATACTAATGTCAACAAAGAAGTCTAAAAAGTGCTTCAAAGATTTTTTTTTCATTGCAAATAGAGCAATAATCACGGAAAGTCAAGAATGAACAAAGAAGTTCTTTTCATCAGCATTTGCAAAGAAAAAGATTTAAAGTTCTATATTTTTTAACTAAAGGTCATATACAGTGCAAAAATAAAGCATAAAATTTCTATTAAAAATAAATCAGTTCTTTCTTAGATTTATTTCGTTTTTCAAAATAGGCAATGCTTTGACGGAAACAGCCTCTGGATTATGTGAAATGGCGCCTTGGCTACTTCTGCACATTGTCAAATAACTGACAGTCTTTCTTAAAAATAGCGTTCGCTTAAACGTAGAGAGAAAAGACCGCGAAGTTCATGCAAGACC